GGGCCGGCAGCCACCAGTCTTGATGTGGGTTGGTTTTGGCACTTTGGCAGCCGATCGGGCCGGGACAGCTCAGTCAGCTCACATGGCCCAGTTTTTTCTTTATGTTTAATATTTAAAAACTAAACACTACAGCTATTAGACAGTTACTGACAGCGACTGAAGCCTCTGATGTTTCCAGCTGTGCCACAATTAGCCCAGATGTGTCTGTTAGTGACATAGTCTCAAGTACAGAAGCATTAACACAATGGTCCGAACGACAGATCCGATATCGTACAGATGGTCCGATACAGTTATAATACAACATCTATACATTTACTATACATTGTGCGTTTTTTTTTTTCTTCTTTTTTTTCTTTATGCTTTCAGGGTGTTTTAGGATTTGGTCACCATTACATCACTGCTGTAAGACTGGGAGGGCGGGGTCAGTTAGTGGTGGGTGGAGCCACAGATTAACTAAGTTTGATCTTTCTAGTCTAACAGAAGCATTTATCCTGCCTATGGGCAACAGGTGAGAAGGCCCACTGTGGGACACTGGTGAGAAGAATCACTGAGGGGTAACTGGTGAGAAGGCCCTCTGAGGGAACACATGAAGTTTGGTCTTTACTCTAAATACAATCCTAACTCTGAAATATTAAAACATTGTGTAAAATGTAAATTACAACCAGAATGCAATAATTTGCTAATCTCTTATAATCACATTTAAATCAATGGAACAAAGTAAATGTATCAAACGTTTCAACTAAAATATGTACATAACAGAGGAACCAAAAGGCTGTAAGAGGGTATTCACAATTTTCAACATTTTCACAAGCAGACAAAATGGGATATTTTTGGAAACCCTTCCCTCTCCCCTCCAAAAGTGTCCAGAAAAATGTTGACTTTTATAAAACACATTTTATTATAAGTATAGCTGAGACATAAAACACATGTGCTTACATGGATATTGTGCTTAGGTAAAATTCATGTCATTCTACATTTGCACACATGTATAAATAGTTTCAAACGTACAGATAAAGATATTTATGATAAACTACAAACACCTGAAACTGACTCTCTCACAGAGAGAACTTTGTGAGTTTGAGGTAAAATAAAGTAAAGATAAACGGACACACAGCTTTGCTGTAATCTGGAGCCGACAAATATTTGTATTTTAGTGTTAATATTGTTTCAAGTCTTGCAGAGACACTCAAACAGGCTGCACGCTCCCACAACGGCATGCTCTCTCAAGGACCAGGAATTTGATCACATGTGCAAGTTGGACATGTCTGTTCGATGACGATGATGCTCCGAACACATTAACATTTAATTTAAAGTTAGATTTTAGATACGAAAGTCCCACTGAGGTTGAGGTGTGATGCAGGTCTGTCAGCGAGAGCTGGATCAGCAGCGGCTGTGCGCATGACGTCCTAGGCCAAACTGTACTGTTTGCAGTGTGTCTCTGCTTTGAGCGCTTTGAGATGGAGAAGGGCTCACAGCTGAGCTCACAGTACATTAGATGGTGTGTCAATATTTGATATGCGGGAGAATAGCAGCATGTTGATTTATATAAGGTGCATCAAAAAACAGTCAACACTTTTTTCATTTTGAAAAGCATACACCAGACCTTGGCCCCTCCCCCCACCAGCATACAGTTTGTACGCTTGTGAAAATGTTGAAAACTGTGAATTACCCTGAAATGGAATGGATTAAAAACAGCTAGAGGAGCTTTGTGCAACTATTTAGATTAACTGGCAGCAGGTCAATAAGAGCACTGGGTGTAAAAGAGCATTTTAGAGAGGCTGAATCGCTCAGAAGTACAGAGGTTTACTAGTCTTCAAAAACTGTGTCTAAAATTAGTGGAACAGTTTCAGAGTAATGTTCCTCAATGACAAATGGGGATAGCTTTGAAAATCCCATCACATACAGTTCATAACATGAGTCTATCTTTGGGCCCTCAGGGGCCACTGAATTAAAAACAGCTCTGGTTCTGTTCTGGACATCACTGCATTGCTTCAGGAACACTTGTCTGTAATCAGTTCAAAGTACCAGCTACAAATGATGGCTAAAGCTCTATCAGGCAAAGAAGACATTGTATATGAATATCATTAAAACCACTGTTTTCTTTTCTGGACCAAAGATCATTTCAAATGGACCAAGTCAAAGTGGAGAACTGTTCTGTGGTCAGATTAATTAAAATTTGAAATTATTTTTGGAAACCACACATGCCACGTCCTTTGTGCTAATGAGGAGAAGCACAGTCCGGCCTGTTACCAGCACAGGTCAACAGCCTGCCTCTCTGATGGTATGGGAGTGCATCAGTGCCTCTGACCTGGGCAGCTTACACATCTGGAAAGGCATCATCAATGCAGAAAAGTATATAGAGGTTTTAGAACAACATCCAGATGTTGGAGCTCATTGTTATATTCTGTGTGGCTGTGAGAACTACAGAGTGCTGGGATTGTCTCTGGTTACAGGTCTGGGTACAGCACTTTCTCAGCTGACTATGATATCAGAGTTTTACTTAAAACAGAGCAGTGTGGATTTATATTTTTATTAATTTATTTTATCTATTCAAATAATATATATATATATATATATATATATATATATATATTTTTTTTTTTTTTTTTTTACAAATGCTCACATAATTTACTTCCAAAGATCCGTGTATGAGAAGTACAGCGGTGCTTGAAAGTTTGTGAACCCTTTAAAATTTTCTATATTTCTGCATAAATCTGACCTAAAACATCATAAGATTTTTACACAAGTCCTAAAATTAGATAAAGAGAACCCAGTGAATCAAATGAGACAAAATATTATACTCAGTCATTTATTTATTGAGGAAAATGATCCAATGTTACATATTTGTTAGTAGTAAAAGTTTGTGAACCTCTAGGATTATCAGTTAATTTAAAGATGAAATAAGAGTCAGGTGTTTTCAATCAATGGATGATGATCAGGTGTGAGTGGTCACCCTGTTTGATTTAAAAAACAGGATCTATCAACATCTGCTCTTCACAACATGTTAGTTTAAGTGGATCATGGCAGGAACAAAAGAGATTTCTGAAGAGCTCAGAAAAAGAGTTGTTGATGTTCATCAGGCTGGAAAAGGTTAAAAACCATCTGTAAAGAGTTTGTACTCCACCAATCCACAGTCAGACAGATTGTGTACAAATGGAGGAAATCCAGGACCATTGTTACCCTCCCCAGGAGTGGTGGACCAACAAAGATCACTCCAAGAACAAGGCGTGGACTGGTCGGCGAGGTCACAAAGGACCCCAGAGTGACTTCTCAGCAACTGAAGGCCTCTCTCACATTAATGTTAATGTTCATGAGTCCACCATCAGGAGAACACTGAACAACAATGGTGTGCATGGAGGATTGAAGAAGAAAGACACTGAACATCGCTGCTCGTCTGCAGTTTGCTAAAGATCACGTGGACAAGCCAGAAGACTGTTGGAAGAATGTTTTGTGGATGAATGAGACCAAATTAAAACTTTTGGGTTTAAATGAAAAGTGTTTTGTTTGGAGAAAGGAAAACTCTGCATTCCTGCAAAATAACCTGACCCCATCTGTGAAACAGGGTGGTGGTAGTATCATGGTTTGGGCCTGTTTTGTTGCATCTGAACCAGGACGGCTTGCCATCATTGATGGAAGAATTAATTCTGAATTATATCAGAGAATTCTAAAGGAAAATGTCAGAACGTCTGTCCATGAACTGAATGTCAAGAGAAGGTGGATCATGCAGCAAGACAGTGACAAGTGGTTCTACCATAGAATGGTTCAAGAAGAATAAAGTTCATGTTTTGGAATGGCCAAGTCAAAGTCCTGCCCTTCATCCAATCCAGATGTTGTGGAAGGACTTGAAGCAGCAGTTAATGTGAGGAAACCACCAACATCCAGAGTTGAAGCTGTTTCATACGGAGGAATGGGTCGGTGTGCAGGACTGATCAACAGTTACCAGAAACGTTTACTTGCAGTTATTGCTGCATGGGGGGGTGGGGGTGGTGGTGGTGTAACACCAGATACTGAAAGCAAAGGTTCACATACTTTTACCACTCACAAATATGTAATATTGGGTCATTTTCCTCCATAAATAAATGACCAAGTATAATATTTTTGTCTCATTTGATAAACTGGGTTCTCTTTATCTAATTTTAGGACTTGTGTGAAAATCTGATGATGTTTGAGGTCAAATTTATGCAGAAATATACAAAATTATAAAGAGTTTACAAACTTTCAAGCACCACTGTATCCACAGTATTGATTCTGTGAGAGATGGGGTGCACCCTGGGCAGGTCAGAAGTTCATCACAGGGCTGAATATTGAAATAAATTTAGGAATCTTAACTGTTCTAAACAGGAGAGGTTTAGTCTGATGTATTGTCCGACACAAAACATGGGACAAATGTGGGTTTATGAGGTTTTCAATTCATTGCATTCTGTTTTATTCCCATTTTACGCAACGTGCCAACGTTTTTGAGTTTAGAGATATTTGTTTCAGTGATTCTTCAGCGATACTCTAAATGTTTGTTTTTGTGGCGTTTACTGCAGTGCATGTGAGCTCTAAGTGGCCTTACTGTGTTTGAAATGTTACCACATTTCTGCAGAGGTGAAACCAGAAAAATGTTGCCTCGTTATGTTGGGTTTTATATGTTTTGTGCTTTTAGAATCAAATTTAGCATCAGTGCAAGAATTATTATCACTCCCCCCTAAAAAAAGAAAGAAAGCACATTAAAGAAAAACAACAGTCACAGTCCAACTAGACCAAATGTTCGGTCTATCCATGGCTCTGGTTCTAAACGGGTCAGGGTGAGACGGCTTGCACATTGCAGGTTGACGGTTTGTTTTTCTGAAGACTTTCAGGGGTAAATTACAGGGAAAGGAGTTACAACACGAATGTGTTTAAGGAGCCTAGAAGATGAGGTGTTGAAGTTTACAGATGAAGAGATTTTTTGAACGAGTTACCGTGTTTGACAGGTTTATGGGTGAAAGTTAGTGTGAGTCTATGAGATGTTAATGTTAGGATATGAGCGTGGCCTCCGTTACTATTGCAGGGTCTTCTATGTCAGCTTTACTTTGAATCATTCTCAGCTCCAGTTGGGGTGGACTGGGCCGCCGACCGGGACCTGCTAATTCTGAGGGGAAAACGAGGAGGTAAAAGAAAGACAAATGACAGCTTATAACATTTTTTCAGTGTGATAACAACTTAGAAACTCTTTAAAATCTACAAATTATTGAAAGATTTAAAAACTACATTCCAGATTCTCATAAAAACTGAGATGAATGCAGACACTGAATACAGTAGATGCTACTCATGCTCTTTTGTATTTTGACCGATACCAAGAATCTAATGATCTTACCATGAGCGTAAGATATGGTCCTTTGGATGACGTGGTGCATCACTGAAAAAGTCTTCTCACAAGCTGTCTGAAAGAAGCAGAGGACCAATGATAAAGTGATTACTGTATGTTGCTCTTTGGACTGATGGGTTTTTAATGCATATGTTTGTTTGGGTACCTTTAGGTCAGTAGGGTAGTGATGTGTCCACGCCAGCAGCATGGCAGCAAACAGATCTCCAGTTCCTACGAAGACGGCGTCCACTTTAGGAACTTCTATTCGAACTCTCTGTGTCGTCCTGCTGCCGTCCGGACGAACTGACCAGCAGAGGAAAAACAAAACACTCTGTTTTTGGTAGTATTCGATCTATTTACGTTACATGCAAAATGTTAAATCAGAGTCAGAAACATTCCTATCCAGATTATATTTCGTACCGTGACGCTGGCTACCCAGAGACACGAGAAAACGGTCTCCCAGTCTGGGGGGGAGATCAGAGGAGGTGATGACCACCGTGTCTGGGCCCATAGCGTGGAGAAGGTCCATTACCTACAGACACACACCATAAAAAACTAAAGGCTGAAGCAGAAACTTCTTCTGACAAAAACAAAAGAAAGGAAGAAATCAGACAAGAATATTAACCGTTACCTCCACAGCATCTTTTTCCGTGCTGATGTTTTTTCCTGTCAGTAATCTAAAACACAAACAAACAAAGTCAAGAAGACAGAAACCCCACCCCCCTTTTTTTTTGTTTGCCCCGTTAACATAATTTTTGTGCCTTTTTTCCCACTATTTTAAAATACTCAAACTCTCTGGAGAGAAAACAAATACTCTAGACTAAAATACTGCTGCAAAGATTTATCATTTGAAAACAGCTGGAGTCAAACTGTGAGTTGTGTGTAAATAACTGTAGAGACAGCTGACATCATACAGACAAAACTAAAGTTATATAAAAAATTAAAAATAAAAATAAATCAGAGTTCATGGTTGACTCAGTGACTGCAAGGCGCCCAGATCATTCAAGCCCAGATGATCAGGCCTCCACCACCGTGCTGACAGTTATCATGAGGTTACTGTGCTGATGTGCCATGTTTGGTTTTCTCCAAACATGCAGCTGTGCATTGTGGGTAAATATCTCTGCTTTGGTCTCATGCATCCAGAAGACTATTGGCGCTTTGCTACTGTCTCTACTCATCGGTTCTGAAACACACCGCACCAGTTGAGGGTCTGCCCACTGTCAGTGCCCACCCCCACTCAGCCCAGTTTATGGGACCATCATCTTGTTTGTGGTTCCAACAAACTGCTCCATGGTGACCATTCTGACGTATGCAGGCAGCAGCTGTTGATTGGCCAGTGGAGCTACATTACTGGATAACCCGCCCAGTTAGTTTTATTCTTCTAGTTTCTAGTTCAGTAAGTAATCTCCAAAAACAGTGCTGTGGACCAACGATGAGGTCCAGACCTTTCTCTTTATTGGCAGATCAGAGGATTCAGTGTGAGCTGGATGACGCTACAAGAAACAAGTGAATTTACTGCAAGACATTAGAGAGGATGGTGCAGCATGGCTACACCCCGACCTGTAATCAGTGCTAGGATAAGCTAAAACAATTAGTCGGAATACAATTACAGTCCCGCCCACTTTGCAATGACGATTTTGCCTACAGAGCAGGGAAACAAGTCACTGTGGCAATTTACCTACACCTGAGAAGAACCCATAAGACGAGAACTGAGTGGAGTTCTAGTTACCAGTGGCAAAGCAGCTACTGGTCCAGACATCTTGTGGTTCATTCAGATGAAACTTTCCAAACCTAAGTGGTGCTGCCATGTTCTTTTAGAGACAAACCCTTCCAAACAAGCCATAATTGTAAATGACTCCTCGAGGCTCATGGGAACTAACCTTTACAAATAAAGGTTGAATGAATGAATTGTTCAGTCATTTTCTAATTATCCTGTTATAACCCTTAACCTTTGACCTGTTAACTGAGGCCTGTAGAGTCTGAGATGGAGCTGTCGGGTTTTTGTCATTTCTCTGAGCACTGTACAGTCTGACCTCTGGGTGAATTTTCTGGGATGTCCATTCCTTGTAAAATTGGCAGCTGCTATGAGTGCTTTCCTGTTGAGAACATTCTTTCTCTCTGCAAAATGAAAGACTCTAAATAGTTTGGAAATGACTTTTGACCTTTCTCAGATTGATGGGCAGCAGCAGCTGCTTCTCTCAGGTCATTGCTGATGTCTTTCCATTTTGGTGCTGTGTTACCACACACCTGTATAATCCAGAATGGATGCAAATTGTTTTGGATTTTATTAATAAATATTAATGAAAGTGTCTGGGGAAGACTCAGGACATGCTGGAGAGACCACGTCTCTCTGTTGGCCTGGGAACACCCTGGAGTCCTCCCAGAAGAGCCAGAAGTGGAAAGAGATGTCTGGACCGGTCTGAGCTTTTTTTTGTTTCACATTTATGCAGTAACAAGTTAGTTATAATAACTTTTTTTAAGTCTCTTGTTACACCTAAAAGAACGTTACAAAATCAATAATCTTTTGAAAACACTCACTCAGCTTCAAACTGGTTCGGAGTGATAATGTCGGCAACAGGAACCACCTTGTTCTTGTAGACCGGGTACAGATTCTGAGGAACGTACTGTGAAACAGACAAGTCCAAATTAAAACCGTAGGAAACACACAACTGAAATAAGCTTAAAAAAGTCATGTCAGTTCATTGTTTTCTTGTTGTGTTAGATTTCTTAAAATTAACAGTAAAAAAAATTAATTCTCCCTGAAGCAGCTGGACAACTGGACACATACAAGCTCTGTTCAAATCAGAACAGGAACCATTACAGCTATAACAGATAAGTGTGCGGAGTTGTTGAACATCTCACCATAGATCCATGATCACCGAGGACGGGGTCACAAACTGAAAGGATGAACACAAAGAGACCTCAGACAGGAACAAGATTACACAAACCCTGCAGGGATGGGAGCCACGAGGCTGAAGATCTGAGCTCCATAAAAACTGGAAAGACTGAGAAAAGCCTCTGATAATCATTTAAGTCTTCAAACTGAGAAACAAGAAGCTCTTTAAGAAGTGTTTAATTAATTTCCTAAGTTAACTGTAATAAATTCATATCACTGTAGGTGCTCCAATAAAGTGAAGATTGAAGGACTTGTCCAGAAGGTGGCGCTACAACTTTTCTTGACCTTTAAATTCAACATAAATACAAGTTTCTCACTTTACTGGATTTGTTTAGGTCCTTTTTGGTGCTTCTGTCTACTTTGTGGTAACAGAAAACAAAGTTGGAAACATTTTTCTGCCAAAAATGAGACAAACACCTCTTCTAAAACAACTTGCCTTTAATAACAAATTTATCTTTAATCATCAGTGAATCATTTATTTTCAAATGTTGGCTCAAATCCACAAAATGCTGCTTTAAAGCAGGCAGTAAGTTATCAGTAAAGTAAATTAAGAATGTCACATGAAGGCACTGAACGTGACACTGTATGGACATAAAGTTCCTTCACATTTTGACTGATGCCATCTTTGACCTCAGCTCCCAGTGGAACAGAAAACTCAACAAATAAAAGTAAAGCAGTGTTTAGAAACGTGCTGCAGTCACTGTTAGAACCGTACGTTCTTCCTATACGTGTTGAAGTAAAGTGTTATTTTGAGCCGTGGCCGTCTTGACTGAATTCATGAGATAAAAACTGACAACTATCCACAAATAAGGCACACAGCTATTGCTTTGGTTTTACAGGGACCTGAAAGTCCTTCAGTGACCCCAGAAACCCACACAATCCCACAGCACCCCCACAGAACATCCCAGGGAACATAGTTGTAAGACTTCACTGGGTAGTCAGATGCTCATGATCTCTTAGCAACTCTGCCAGGGTAAAGATGCAGTCAGGGCCAGATTAACACTTCGCTGTACCCTGGGCAACAATCTTCAAGGGCCCCATCATCACGACCCCAGAATTACATAATCTGGCAAAATACAGAATAAATTACCATAATATACAGTAAATATACTTCAAATTCTAAATATCAAGTGTATTTTTAACGTAGGGCAGCACGGTGGCGCAACTGGTAGAGCTGCTGCCTCTCAGCGAGCAGGTCCCTGGTTCAAACCCCGGTCCAGGGGCCTTTCTGGGTGGAGTTTGCATGTTCTCTCCGTGCATGCGTGGGTTTTCTCCGGGTACTCCGGTTTCCTCCCACAGTCCAAAAACATGCATGTTAGGCTGATTGGTAACTCTAAATTGTCCCTAGGTGTGAGTGAGAGAGTGAATGTTTGTTTGTCTCGTTTGTCTCTATGTGGCCCTGTGATGGACTTGCGACCCGTCCAGGGTGTACCCCGCCCCTCGCACAGTGATTGCTGGACATGGGCACCAGCGACCCCCGTGACCCAAAAAGGAATAAGCGGGTAAAGAAAATGGATGGATGGATGGATGGATGGATGGATTTTTAACGTATAAAATCCAAATGCTCATAGAACTATAAATGCTACTTGTTGATGCAAATCATCAAGACTGAGTTAAGTTTGAACACACTTTGAACACCACATGACACCACGTGCACTTGTTTAGCAACGTGTTGGACATTGGTGTCAGAAGCATTTGTAATGTGGGGGGTGGGGGGCACACTGATGGGGGGGGTCTGGGAGTCCTCCCCCCCAAAATTTGAATAAAGTAGATGCCATTTCCTGCATTCTGGTGTATTTTAATGGTTGTATAACATCTAGTTTTACCTGCATAAGTAAACACTTGATTCAGTAACTATTTTAGAGTTAAAGGCACAACAAGAAGTAGCCTGACCAACAGCTGATTCAATTAATTAAAAATATCATCAAAGGTGACGATTTGATGCCCACATTATAATTAAATGAATGTAACTTAGTTGACTTCATATGAAATAAGATCATCAATGAATGTTTGCGACAAAGGATTTACTGATTATGACAAAGATTCCTTCAAGAAACCTCCCAGTATAAATCATAAAACCAGAATGACTTCTGCTCATTCTAAATTTATCAAATGACCTAAATCTCCTAAAGTGAAGGAGAATCGTTTTAAAATAATAAATATGATATATCATGTAGCCGGGTAGCACGGTGGTGCAACTGGTAGAATTGCTGCCTCTCAGCAAGCAGGTCCTTGGTTCAAATCCCGGTCCAGGGGCCCTTTCTGGGTGGACTTTGCATGTTCTCTCCGTGCATGCGTGGGTTTTCTCCAGGTACTCCGGTTTCCTCCCACAGACCAAAAACATGCATGTTAGGCTGATTGGTAACTCTAAATTGTCCCTAGGTTTGAGTGAGAGTGTGAATGGTTGTTTGTCTCTATGTGTCCCTGTGATGGACTTGTGACCCGTCCAGGGTGTACCCTGCCCCTCGCACAGTGATTGCTGGACATGGGCACCGGCGACTCCCGTGATCCAAAATGGAAGAAGTGGGTAAAAGATAATGGATGGATGGATGTCAATGCAAAGTCTTTGGTCAGACATCAGAAACTGGATTAATCTAATCATAACCACTGACAACAGTTAACATCAGACCTTCTACGTCTACCTTCAGACACATCACCATATCTGACAATCTTTTCACCTCTTCTACATTCTTTGCCAACTCCTCCTTCAGGAGCACCCCTACTCCATTTCTCTGGTAAAACAGTTTAAATCCTGCTTCAATGCTGCGAGCCTTGCTGCCCTTCCACTTGGTCTCCTGGATACAAAAAACATCTACCTTCCTTCTATGCATCATGTCAGCCAGCTCTCTACCTTTGCCTGTCATTGTCCCCACATTTAGAGTTGCCACCCTCAGTCCTACATTCTTCACTTTCCTCCTTTCCTTCTGTCTCCTGACACGTTTCTTTCCTCGTGGTCTTCGACCATCCACATGGTTTATATTTAGGCATACAGTATTCATTTGTTAGAATGTCCCAGTCGAAGTCAAAACCTAAATCCAACTGAGCATCTGTGACAATGTTTGAAAATAGATGCTCACACATACTCTCAATCCAAAGCTTGACTTGTTTTACAAAAAGATTCCAGTCTTTTGTCGAACAAAGTTGGTAGAGACGAAGCTGGAATTGCAGCAAAAGATGGTTCTGCAAAGTATTGACTCAGGGGGTACGATCATAAACGCACACCACCCGTCTCAGGTTTTTCTTTGTAAAAACTTTTTGAAACCATGATTCAAGGGCTGCTGTGGCTGTGTGGTTAGAGCAGTCATCCTCCAATGAAAGAGTTGGAGGTTCGAATACATCAGCAGTCATGCTGAAGTGTCCCTGGGCAAGACCTCCGATGTGTGTCCCATCAGTGTATGAATGTGATGAAACACTTATTATTCTCTTTAGAATGATTTGTTCCATTAGCTTTGTAGAGATCTAGTAGAGTGCTGTATGAATGAGTAAATGAGGACACAGATTGTAGTGTAAAGCGCTCTGAGTATCTTGATCAGATAGAAAGGTGCTATATAAGTACAGTCCATTTACCATTTACCACAAATTTCCTTCTATTCCATAATGATGTGCTGCTTTGTGTTGGGTGTGAATACTTTAGTAAGGCATTGGTAGAGCACAGTTTGACTTGCTGTAAGGTGAAAGTGGACAGTTGTCTAATTCCTGCAGATTTTTATTCTCTACTGTAAAAATAACACTGTAAAAATCTGTTCTGATCAACAAACCTGTTTTCATCCAAAAATTGAAAAATGATAACAAGAAAACAATCAGCCTAAAAGAAGAGCTTGTAAATCATGAACATTATGAAGCATTGTTTTTTTAACAAATCAAGAATACAGAGTAGCTTTCAGACAACACTTTTCTGCCATAAAAACTAAAGTTAATGTTTAACACTATAATAAAATTTGATCAATACATTAAAACAGTTGCTCACCATAAACCAGGTTAGGATTGGCTCTCTTTAGCTCCTGAACAATGTCCACCACCATCTCCAAGAAGGACGTGTCTCTGGTATACCCTGAACACATCACACACATACACACATGAAATATCGTATTCATACGGGACGTGTAAAGTTCCTTACATCAAAACTAAGTCAATAAAACGTTTCAATAAGGGAAGAAAAAGAAATTAAACTTTCAGAAATGTTAGATTCTGTAAAAGTTGTATCATATGTGGATTTAAAAAAAAACAGTAGGCAAAAAGTTTAAATATAATATGCCAATGTCCCTCATCACTGAGGGATTTGAATAGTGAATGTTTGTAATTTTGAAAACAAATGTTTTTCTGGACTCGAGTTGAACAGGGAATTCAAGTAAACCTTAATGTTTATGTTACAAATAAAGTCCAGTTGTTTTTGTATTGAACGCTTTTTGAATTCATCGTGTCCTGGATGACTGAGAATCTTCACCAGCTCAATGTTTATGGTGCAAGATATTCAAGTGTGTAGGCGTGACACTGTGGAGAAGAGCAGAGATAGTTTTCACTTTTTTATTTATTTTTGCTTGTTCGAGGCAGCACAGAGTGACAAATCCTGGCCAGTGGAGGGAGTAACTATTATCTACCACCAGGTGCAATGATTGCACCAGGGGGTGGTCACCTACACAGCAACAATACACACACACACACGTGTGGTGTGTGTGTGTGTGTGTAAATATATATATATATATATATATATATATATATATATATATA